GTCCGAGCATAAATACAGCTCTCCCGTAAAAATGTCGTACTTACGTACGCGCAGTCTATTCCATACACAATCAATTTACCTGCAATATATTCTCGAATCCATTCGCAAGATCTTCGCCACGATCTCCCGTAGCAAGTGGGGTAAAGTTCGCCGCGGCGCAAGGCTCGCGCTGACGGCTCGCCGCGGCAGCTCCGCCATCAATTTGCTAAACCTATAGAGAGGTGTCGCCCATAAAACGTTTTATAGATACCGGCGCTCGCTCCCCCGGTACATCGAGCGTTTACGAGTTAATTACTTAATCAGTTGATTAGGAACTATCGAATGGTACTGGTACACGAGCGTGTGCGCGTTCCGGTTAGCGAGCAGGGGATCCCATAAGGCAGTCACGAAAAGGGGGGAGAGACTTTTCCCTCCGTATGGCACCCGTGGAATCGATGTCTTAACTTCGGAGGAAATTGCGAGGCGAAAAACGACGGGGCTATTCGCGACTAATTGAGCGTTTAGGAACCGGGGTTTCCTGCGCAGGAGAACACCCCCCCCCCCCTTAACAGTACACCAACTTCCTGTCTCTGTAACTGTACACCACGGGGCTACCGAGATGGCTCGTGGTCGAACAGTATCGAGAGACAGAGATGGGCAGAATTTTATTCGAACAACAGATGGTAAAAGGCAGCGATATTTAAGATCGTTATCTTGAAACCTTCAAATAGGTAATGCGATTAAGTCTATGCGGCTGGGTGGTATGAAAAATGTACCACCTTGTTTTTATACCCAACTCGCATAGTGGGACGTTGTTCGTATCACCGTCGTGGAATTATTAAAAATAAAACATAATTCAAGTAGAATAATATTTTCGCACATTTCAGACGAAAAGATGTATGTGCAACTAGGTATTTCTTTTATTGTAAAATACTGTGCTTCAAAGAGTTAAATCATTTTTGGACAAGTATCTACTCATTTAAGAAGAAACGTTATTTTATTGTAACAATTGGAATTAAAGGGTTTAATGAATGAAAATGACCGGATCATTTGAATAAAGGCGAGTGTTTCATGTGTAGATATTTTCATAGTACTACAAGATCTAGAGAATTCTCGAATCTTGGATTGTGATTTAATTTTAATTTAATTTATTGCCATTAACGGGAATACCCATTTTAGTAATTTAAATATACTTATACATTTTTTATCTTTTATTCGTTATTCGAGCTGCACAGTTCACTACGTAGTGGGCCCGATGAACCGTGAACCACGAACCCACGGAAAGGGAACACGTCTGAAATCCTTAGTTCCGGCCGCCACTACACGCAATGATCATTTGTAAATACAGAGGACGGGAATAATCGCGATGGTAAGGAGGCAGCTCGCCGATCTACGTCGGTAATGCCACCTTTCAGAAATCCAGAGGGAAACCCCTTGGGCCCGAGGTAATCGCACGAGCGTGTCGTAGAATTTGTCGATATTAATCGTGTTGTCGATGGCCGGCGATCTGAAGAGATCCGAACGGTACCCCTGGGCGATTTCGCGACGAATGTCAAACGGTGGCGGTGATCGTTTTAATTGTTTCATTCAAGGCTCAGTTTTCGAGAAAATCGACTTTGAAAATCTGCTAGATACGGGGACAATATTGAATAGGTTTGATCTAGCGCGTCTGTTCATTGCATTCCGTTTCTACTTACTAATGTGGTGAATACACGTGTTTCGGATTAATTTTCGAAGTGGATTTTTTGGAAAACTAAAACTTAAATGAACAAATTTGATTGTATATTTTGTTCTTATTTTTTTTCATAAGGAATCACCTCGTATATGTTTGTACATGTTATTCAGCCACACCCTGTATACCTTCCGTTCGCTTGTCACTTGCGGCTAGCCGCAGGCCCTTTCCTACCTGGGCTGCGTGTACCACGCGTATCGTTGTGTCCGTCGGTGTACGCGACAGCTGAAAATTACCAGGTGTCCCTCGGTCGAAACGCAAAGGGAGAGAGAACGGACGGTCGGTGGTTAATTAATTAAGCAGGAAACGGTGACCTTGAGCGTCCTTTCCGAGGACGTTCACGAGCGTCTCTTAGCAGAATCAACCTTGATCACGTTCTCTCTATAAATTATCACAAGTAATCGCGGAATTCATTGCAATATTAAGTTCCAATGCGACAGTTACACGAACATCCTGGAACATCTTTGATGTCTTCGGAAAATAAAAAGAAGATTCGTTCAAGCATCGTTCCGAAATTCTAATTAAATATTCACTAGGAAATTACCCAACGGAACAGGATACTCTCCAAATTGTTTATTGTTAATATTTATAAATGTACTACTACTAAAAGTTAGTAGTTCGGGAGATATTTCAATTTAAATAATTCTAAAATACCATTACTGTCGTACTTTATTACCATTCCGGTAAATAAACGCTAACGTACGACAGTAATGGTATTATCGAATTATTTTATTTGAAATATCTCCTGAACTAATAACTCTTCGACATACATAGGTTAGTACTTTTTTTTTATAACGAATGTCCAGAAAACGTTGCGTCGAACGGATTCTCCAGGAGTCGAACACGGCAACAGGTGTGTTTCGATGTCGCGCCCGTTTCGTCGGAAAGGTAATACCAGTTCCCATTTATTCCTCATCGTCGCCGATGCTACCAGGCGAACCGGGGCACGGAAGACGGCCGCAGAAGAAGGAAGAGGACGCCCCGGCGTATCGACATCGGATTCCTCGACGGTTAATCGCGCGTTCTCCCAACGACCAGGTTTCTCCCCTCGCATCTCCACCTCTTCACCGAGTAATCGTAATTTTCGTAATACGCGATCGAGTTCCTGGTGGGAGCGCGGGCGTTAAAGGTAGGGGACGGAGGGGAAGGTGGAGAACTGGTGACCGGAAGCCACGGTTTGTTCAGCCGTTGAACCTGCTCTCGTTTAATTCCGCTCACGGGGCGGCTCCGAGGCAAACCAGGGCTATTATATCGCTGTGCCGAGTCGAGGATGACGTTATGTATCCCGAGGCTCCCACCGCCACGGCGCGATCTCCCGTTTCGTCCGTCTTTCTCTCGTTTTCTGATTCTCTCATTATCCCCTGTGCCCCTACCCCCTTTTTCTACGGGGGCCCGTTCGACATTGCGATTTCTCTACGGTGCAGCGGTCTCGCTCGATAAACGGAACCTCGGGGGAAGCTAAGGAATTAACCCCGTTTTTTTTTTTACAGGTTCTACGAGTTTGAGTATCGAGTGGTGGCTCTGTGGCTGTCAGGCTTCAACGGACGTGGTTCTTAGGCGGAATTAATTGTGTTTCGTAGGCCGGTGATTCATCGGAAAAACGAGTCGTTTATGTAAACTCGAAGATTCACACGTGGTGATGGGATTTCGATATCGGTGCTGTTGGTGATATTCAATCGTTTCGGTACCAGAGTGCTTGTAAATGGGAAGTATCGATACGTATCGAAGGTTTAAGGTGTCAATTATCGATACGAATTTTTCTTGAATCGATATAAAACCAATACGGTATCGAATCAAAATTGGTTTGATACTTACCGTACGAAGGTATCGATACCTTCTGATACTTACACGAAAGTGTCGATACATTTCGATACCTACACGAAAGGTATCGATACATTATGATACCCACACGAAAGGTGTTCGATATATATTCCTTTAAGTATCAGAAGATGTCGATACTTCCGAGTAGGTATCGAACAAGTGTCACGATACTTTCGTACACGTGATCATCGAAGAACTATTGATTCCATCTGATACCAGCGCCTTCGATACGTATCGATATTGGATCGGAATTTCTAGAACGGTATCGATAGTATCGATACAGTATAAATTCTATCTCTAACTCACACACAGAGCATTACAATCCGCTAGGAATTTCACGGTTACGTTCTAAGTCGCGGTTCGCAATTATTACAGAAGTTTCGATTTCAATGAAACGATGGGGGCCGCCACCACCACGCCGTTGACTCTGGTCATTTCAACTGTAAGCTCGCAAACAGCTCAACAGATTATTCTGTAATAAGACTGTGGCAGCGCTATAGCGCGCACGGTCTTCCTGGATGGCACAGGTGCGTTTCCTAGACGCGCTGGTTATGACGATCCGGGGGCCGAAGCGGCGAGGCCGATTAAACGAATAAGGAGTCACGGCAATAGGGAAACACCTGCCCCGCTTTTATAACGGCCAGTAAAATGCTTCGTTACAGGGATCGAGACCGGTACGCCGGAGGATCCTGTAAATTTAACGATTCCTCACGGACAAAGTACGGTCTAACTGCTGCCGTAACCGATGTGTGTGTGTGTGTGTATGTGTGTGTACAGTACGCTTTCCTATAGTTGATTGCGGCAGCAACGGTTCGACGTATCGTTCCGCCGTTCGCCGATAAAGTAGCGACGGGGGAAATTAATCTCATTGGGAGAAAGGCCGCGGGTGCGCGCGCTCAGCGATCGGCGCGGAATTTTAGCAAGCTTGCGCACACCTTTTTACACGGGCATTTACGAGGCGACAAAGTGCACAGGGGGACCGCAAAAACTTGCAATTTAACGAGAGGATTTGCAGCACGAGGGTAGCCGCGCGCATTGGTAGCCGATTAGGCTCGTCTCAGTCGCGGTCTTCCTCTTTCGTCCCCCCTCTCTAAGTCGGGATTCGAATCGTTCGGTTAGTTTTATTCCGATCCTGTTCTTTAATCGCAGACATCTGGTGTCGGATCGGAACGGATGTCCACGTCGAAGCCCCGGGTGAAGATTCGAAAGGACTGTCACATTGCTAATTTGACTAAATTGTTTCCCAAAATGCGAATTCTATTTGAAAATCTTCCTGCTGCTATAAGTAATAATTTTGTTTTACAAAATATCATTACTTATTGGTGGTAGTGTACGTATCGTTCGACGACTGAAACGGTGTTTTAACGAACGGGAAGTGTGGATGCTTCGAACGAGCAAGAAACTTATCACGAGCTAGAATCTGCAGCGTAGTTTTTGCGATACTTTGAAAAAAGTAAATGGTACTCACGAGTTAGAGGTAGAGCGTGCCGACACGCCGAGGTGCCACCACGGTGACAGCCAGACGCGGTCCGCATTTACTCGGTGGCAGCGGCGCTGCTGTGGCCGGTGGCGGTGTTTCCGGTCTCGTGCAGCCCAGCCCACTTCCGCCCCGTAGCTCCCACACTAAATTCGTCAGCGAACGCGGTCTGCTCAAACGCCGCGATCTGAATGGACGATGTTGTCGTGGATTAGTGACTGGTTCTCGTTACTGGTTAATACTCTTCGAGGCCAGGCTGTCTTACCAACGAGTGTCTCGTAGAGCATTAACCGAAAAAAAAACTAAGACTAAGGTATGCTGATTTAGGGTACGGTTTCTGAGGGTAAGCTACATATTTAATGAAACTTTATGCTTCTCGATCTCCTGACCGAGTACGACCCCTTAACCCCTTGGGTACATTTGACGTCTGAGACACGTCATTCACTTTTTTCCCCTAAGAGCGGATGACGTGTCTAAGACGTCAAACGAAAAATTAAACTTTTAGGTTTGTTATAAGCATAATATTAGGAAAGAGACTACGTGGCAGTGCAAACAATGCAAAGTAGCACTGCATTTACCTACTTGCTTTGAAAAATATCACACTCTGCATTATTGTTAGTAATTGTTTTTTTTTTATAAATTGAATTTATTTCATTTAGTTTTATTCTGTTGTTATTAATTTATTTTTGTTTTGCAATTCTAATTAGTCGAAGACATCTTAATACTACATATGTCACCAATATTTTAGAAATAAATACATTCTTACGTAAAATGTACTGCCTTTACATTACTACTCCAAGCAACCAAAAATTATTTCCGTTCCACATGCAAATATTTTCTCAAATAAATCCGTACCCAAGGGGTTAATGCCTGGCCTCGAACCTCAACTCACGATTCCAAAATTGAGCATCTAATTCTACAGTCTATGTAAACATGATCCACGGTTACCTTTTTTCTGGCAGCTTAGCACCAGCACCGGAGTCCCCCGATGTCCTACCCCCGGAATGGCTCGAGTCCAGCGTTCCGTCCAGCTCCATGGCCTGCTGCAGGTTCGTCAGACTCTTGTATCGTATATTGAAAAGCGGAGATCCCCCTTTGTATCCGGGCGGCGTCTCCTTCAACGGGGACGCGCTCTTCTGCCTCATCAGCGGACGTCCCCGTTGGGTGCCGCTGTTCTTCACGTAAAGCTTCGCCAGCGGCGGTTTCTCGACCCTCGGTTGCGGCGCCTCTTTAACGGCTCGCCGCGTCCTCTTCTCCGCCTGGATCTTCTTGGTCGGTATGGTCTCGATCGGCGGCGGTTCCGGTCTGTCGTCCAGCAGCGGCGCGATCGTCACCGTGACGGGCGTCAACGGCGGACTGGAGCCTTGGGTTCCGGCCAGCGGGCTCTCGTAAGGCGACCTGACGCTTTTAGGCAACGGGGCGAAACCGCGAACGTAATCGTAAATCTGATCGATCTCGTCGTACTCCTCGGTGCAGGCGGACGGTGGCACGCGATTCTCGTCCCGGTAGGCCGCGTGTCCCGAGGACGCCTGATGCCCGTTGCTGTGATAATGATGGTGATGATGATGGTGTCCGGCGTTGTTTCGATGATGGTTCAACGGTCCGTTGTCCGAGTTGGTGGAAGATCGCCTGAGGAAACCGCCGGAGCCGCTTCGCGTCTGTCTGGACGGCTTGCTCTCGCCTAGGCGGCCGTCCAGGACGTGAGCACGATCGGCCACGTCGGCGACCAGACGCGAGGCCCTTTCCACCAGCCTCGTGAACTCTTGCATCGACCTGAGCGCCTCCTCGTTCCTCGCTTTGACAAGCTTCAACGGAGCGGCCAACGGCAACGCGACAGCCGCGCCCTCACGTTGCAACGGCAAAGCGAACACGTGCTCCTCCTCGAACGTGGACAACAGCCTCAGCTCCGGGACGAACTGCGACGAGGATTTCAGCCCTCTGGGCGGCTGACCGTGCACCAATCGGACGGTCAACGGCAAACGCTTGCTGAGCAACGCACGAGCGGTGTGCACGCCGCTGATGTTGTCCTCGCGCGCTAACGCGCTGAAACGACCGCGCTGATCCATCCCCAGCAGCACGCTATCCCCGCGACAATCGACGCAACGAAGGAACCGACCGCGGCCAGGCAATGTCACCTCCCCGGCTGTCACGATCGTCTCACCCGCCGCCAGTGTTCTAGTCCCCTCGGGGACAACTAGGCCCGAATCGTCGTCCACACGGCATGCTATACCGCGCACCGTCTCGCGCACCAGCGCTCCCTCTTCCGGACATCTACGGCACAGCTCGGTCACGGACTCGATCCCACGCACCGCCCTGCCCTCTTCGCTCAGTATCTCGAAGTAGCCCGCGTACGAGTCCGGTATGGCCAATCTGGGCCCTACGCCCACCACTCTGCGACCCTCTTTGATCTTCACTGCCTGGGCGACGATCTTACGTCGACGTCCCGCGGACACCAACAGGGCTGTGCTCTGCAAACTCGGCGCTGGCAGGGTCGGCACACCGAGACCACCGTACTGGCCCTTCGTGATCTTGATCACCGCCGGCAAACGATACTTGGACACGAATTCCCGTAGGTAGGTCGCTTCCTCCGGCCAGCGTGCCGCCGCAACCACGATCTGACCGTCGGTCGCGGCCATCGCGGCGCTAAAACGCCGCCCACCCTCGCGTGCACTGGCCCCGGCGCCGACACGTCACCGATGATGCGAGAGGGGCCCCGTTCAGGGCCCAGACCACCTATCCTCGCTACTGATGCTCCTGCTGATCGGACGCCGCGCTTCTATGCTCCATCTGGAAAACGAGATAAAAGATTTTCGTTAGATTAGGAGCCATTTTGGGGACACCATGCATCCTAGATATTGTCTAGGTATAGTAGATACATATAGTTTAATTTTTCTGCAACTTTAACCAGTTCGCTACCAGCGTCACATACGTGTGACGCTCCAAATTCTATGTCAGCATACTTTCTTAGATAAAAAAGGGAATAGGTTTTGCAATATTCACCTATATTTCGGGCCAGTCATTGACTCTGTTTTGGGTATTTTTAATTTCTGATCAAAAAGCTAAGGATATCCCATTGAATAGAATACTGAAAATCTAACATAGTCTGTGACGAACATTTTCGAAATAATGTGCTGGTAGCGAACTGTTTAATAAAACTTTGGAAATCCTTCCGAGTCATCGGAAGATAAAACTTTCAAGATCAACAGAACATTTCGTCGAAACCATCGCGATCGAATCATTTACAGAACGATTCATGCGTCTAGAAAGTGACTTCAGTCGTCCATTCAATGGACCATTACATTTTCACGTCGACAGTTTTCTTGACTAAGAAAAGATTATAAATTCTTTAGCCATTGTTCGCAATCCAGAATTCGAACGATATCGCCGTTATTTTCCAAAGGATCTTAAATGGTTTCCCTCCCGCAGGCCAGGTCTGCGCGTCGATTAAAATGCTCATAGGTGATCGACAACACGGACTCGCCGTTCACGCTTAATCGAAAGAATTCTGTTCCGTCGATTTAAAGAACCGAACAATGGAATTCGCGGGCGGGGACCTCGACGGAACGGAGGCCCGGTTCCCGTTACTTCCTCATGGCGGTTCGCATCATCGGCGTAACCGACGATTAAAGTAGACGATCTACAGCCGCCGGAATATCTCTCGAAGCCTGGTTACCTAACGAGCGTAGTACCCTACAACACACCAGGCCGAAGTGTACAACGTAAATGGGCGGTGCCGGGCCCGATTGTTTCGGATTTCTCCAAACCGTGTATATATACATCTATCTTGTCGGGTGGAAAGTAACGATCGTGACTCGGCTGTCGAGCATCGCGAGCGCGCGCCGCATTAAACGATTCCCCCGGACGAATTGCTTCACGGTTATGCCGCCACGATATACCGTGGCAAGGAAATTCCGCGCGATGCCGTAAAGCCGCTTGGGAACACAGCCGTTGTTGCACCAGAACTATCTCTATGGGAGCTGATGCTTCCGTGTTACCTTCGGGCAGGGTCTCCCGACGTATCGGATATCGTCCGAACGATTATATAAATCGCGGTCGCCTGGCCACCGATTCGATCGTTCCACCCGGTTGGCAATTATCGCTTTCCTTCCCGCCCAACCCTGCGGTGCCTTTCGAACGACAACGCTTCTCGCGAGTGAATCCTGGTAACCGTACAGCCCTGGCGGCAGCTCATTCCAGGGACCTAAAAGTACCTACGATCCTGGTTACTACTCGGGATAGGGGCTAGAAGGTACCTACGAAATTATAGCTACTCAGGACAGGGACCAGAAGGTACCTACGATCCTAGTAGGTATTCAGGAAGGGACCTCCGATCCTGTCAACCCCGCAGATCCAGCAACGAGTCATCGATGATCATTCCCGATCATTGTCCAACAAACAAGCTCCGCAATCTCGATCAACCATCGTCTACCACCTACCGTTCCGGCTCGCAGAAAAATCCCAGCGTCACCGTCCAGGTGAATCATCGCTAGAGATGAGTCCCTCTTTCGCCCCCCCCCCCCCCTCCCTTCCGTTCTCCGCGCGTTCTAACGATCCCCTGGGCAATTTATCGCGCGGCCGTGTGAAAGGCCGATTCCAGAGTGCAGCGTACCGGGATATCGGGGAGGGTATAATGAAATCGCGCGGTGAAAATCGAGCCGTCTGAAAGGGGGCCTTCAAGATGGCCCGCAGCCAGCCGGAGATAAGGACTCCGGGTGACCAATGACCCGGGGCGTCGTGACAGGCGCGCCTCTAGGAAGTTATTCGACACACTCCTCTCTGTCCTGCATTCTCCTACACGCTCTCCCCCCCCCCCGCCCTTCTCTTCCTTCTTCATCCGTAACCGTTTGCAATCCTCTACACACATAAGCTTTCACGGTGGATTCTAGCGGCGAACGGCTCGATGCAAATTTGTATTGGAATTTTTCCCTGGGAACGGTGCTTTGATCGAACGCAGGAAACCGTTAAGTTCCTTCGCGCTGCGTGCGTGTTCTCCCCTCCCCCTCCTCTTCCCCTCTAACCGTGATAAGGCGATTACGCGATACGGGAACAGACGGATCGCACATTGTATCTGATACACGCCACGCGGGGACCACGAGGCCCCGTTTCGTACCGATGGGAACGGGGAATCCCTCCGGGAGACATCTCTTTCTCAGGCTGCGACGGGAAGCACATCGGGCTTGTTCGAATTTCTGGGCGTGTCCATAACCTTAATCCACTCGAGACGTCTCTTCGGCTGACGGAATATTCGCTTGCATCGTGCTTGGCACCACCGCGGGGCGCTGTGAGGAAAATTCAATGTCCTGGATAGTTGACATTTTACGGTATACACGGTCTCAGAATGAGGAAATGAAGAAATATCCGAGGAAGGAACGTATTGGAATGATCGAATAATGAGGGAAATAACGGTGATATTACTGCGACCGTTTTACGATCGTTAAATACATTCTAAATATTAGGTGTAGAAATTAATTAACGAATTTATTGCTTGTTCGCAACGAAAAACCAAAATACAGTCTAGTCTTGAAACCTTCTACACATTTACACCGATTCGCAGGCAGTTAACGGATTCTACTTCTTGCTTCGGAAATCGCTATATCCGGTCTTCAGGAACGCATTCACAACGTCACAAGGCCCAGAGGGGGTGGCGCAGTCGGGGCCGATCGTTCGATCGTTCCGCGTAAATCACCACCCCTCCCGTGTCCCTTGATCGCGCGATCGTTGCCCGTGTATTTTTGCAGACAGGGCTGCGCATTCCCGTGGCGGGCGTAGCGTTCCCCAGTCGCGATAAAGGAGACAGAACGAGCCCCTGGCGGGTCAGAGCCTCCGGTCCCCGTGTTGTCGTTACGCGTATCGATACGCGGCTACGATTAACCGTCGAGAGTGGCGACGGCTGGTAGACTGCAAGGACAATCAGGCCTGTGTCGAAATCGGCTCGACGAAACAACAGGATCGTCGTCGTTCGTTGTCGTGGTAGCCGTTCGTACACCACCGAGCCACGGTGAAAGCTGCCTCGAGAGCCTGCAGCATATAATTCGAGGGCACGTCGATAAATCAACGGGCGCTAGAGGGAGAAAGAAGAGAGAGAAACCGATGTCTACGTGCTGGAGAAAGAGAGAGAGAGAGAGAGAGAGAGAGAGAGATCGATAGAGATGGTGTGTGCGTTGCGACACACGTTCGTCTATTCGTGGGCGGTTCGTTCGCTGGTTGCAGCGCTCGTCGCTGGTGGATATATCGTTCGGAATCGGACGGCGTCGATAGTTGCTCTCCACGCTATCGAGACGAGCACGACGATTCCGAGGGTGAGGGAAAGGGATCCTCTGGTGATCTTTGCACACTCGATGTAAGGTATTTTGTAAATTTATGGGAAACGTAGCTGGTAGAAGGGACTAAATTTTGTCGTGAATCGACTGTTTCTTTTTTTCATTTTCGGCGACTTTGTTGTTGGTTTAATATTCCGTACCCCAGAGGTGATTTCGATCCAAGGAAATGACCACATATCGGAACATACAATTTTCTATTCTTTTCATTTCTGGTGCTAAAAATGCGGACTCCCATTTTGAATAAATCAAATTGACCTCGAAAACAATCTTCAAATTTCACCTGTATGTCGTAGTCAAGCTCAAGACCAGATGCCACCTTTCTATCGAAACATTTTTTAATCTGGGGTACTCATCTTTTTGGTACACCCTGTATATACATATAACCGTTGCTCCAGATAAGTTGCACAATAAATTCTCGTCTGTCTTAATCGGCTGCGACCTCCAAAATATAAGGAACGGTCGTACTTTAGGCACAAGCTCCGCGAGCTAATTCCTCGCCACGCGTAGAGAGCGTCGTGTAACAATAAAACATTACGATTAGACGGCCGTGTTCCACGAGTTTGCGACACCGTTTGTCCGCTTCGTAGGCGTCCGCCGCGCTATATATCGTCATCGAAAGCTGATAAGTATCGTGCCACGGCTATCGAGAAACGCCACCACCCAGATCCCAACGGGCACAGAGCCCACCACCGAATACTTTAATCGTATTTCACGAAACGGATTCATATCTGTCGGATCTCTCGGGTGCCTCTATCGGTTCCGTGTCTTTTCCGACCACTGTTCCACCTAGATAGTCGAGATTTGCTATGTGTACGCAAGAGACTGGTACGATTCGAGACAATGATTCGAGTTTATCGGGCGACTGAATAAAATGTTCGACGAAGAGGTCGAGATCTTAATATTCCCTGGCGATTATTAAGGTTCAGGTTCACGTTCAGAGTGTATAAAAAAAAAAATTATTTCATTCTAAGTCGTTCAATTTTTAATATAATGTAAAAATGATATTAAGTCCATATCTTGGTCCGAGCAAAACATAGAGGGCTTAATACTAATGTTCCCCGTTTCTAGATATCGAGACTTGCCTTAATTAATAGTTCGAAGGTAGCGATTGTTACTCGTTGAGTTCTTACCAAACGGTCCAAAAATTACACATACAATATACTATCTGCGACCGTCCAGTCGCGTGGGCACCTTTTGCACCCCCGCCAGGAACGGCCCTGAGTCGAGTGCTCCTCTCCGAAGAGAGTTCGCTCTACACTCCAGCAACCTAGTACGTGACAAGTTGTTTGCACCCGACCTGTCGGGAGCTTAATTAA